TGATCTCTCACCCTTACTAATGACCTAAGAATAATCAAGCATTACAATCTTGATTGTTAGTAGTATCTTAATTTCCTAATAGACTTATTCGATTATGTTATTTTAGTTATTTATATGTTTTAAACTTATTATCTGCTGATTCCATAGGCACAGACTTGATTGAATTGTCATGTACCATATAACTTCGTTTATCAATAGAACCATTGTAGACTTCAGTCAACTTTGATTACTAGGTATAAAATTGCTTATTATAAATTTTTCAAGTCGATCAGAGTATAAATTCAACGTTTTATGTAGATATCATATAAAAACGTAACTTTGTATAACAGATGGACATTATTCCTAATGCCTAGGATGTAAGTCCGTTGATTGAATAATAGTTCACAAATACAATTGTCCAAGATCTGTTCAAATTTAACAACAGTTCAGAAAATTATTATTTTTGGGTTAAATAGGTCATACATAAACAAGTTTCTTGTTAAAATAAAGTAATAATCTTTTCACAAAGGGGTTTTGTGGAGATCTTAGTAATTTTATATAGCTAAGATCATTAGTCAATTGAAGCTAGACTACCATGGAAAACCTCAGTACAATGAAAGTTGGTCGCGCAATTTCGTGGATTGGTTGAGGTTAGACATTAACACCGTTAGATGCCGGCTCAGTGGTCTATCGGTTAAGTGCTCTGGCGCGAGACTGATAGGTTCTGGATTCGAACCCCGCGGGGCGGGATCGTGAATGCGCACTGCTGTGGAGTCCCAAGATAAGACAAAACGGTCGTCCAGTACTTCCATGTTTTCCATGGTGGTCTAGCTTCATTTAACTAATGATCTTAACTATATGTGATAATCTTTTATTGTCTGTTTATATTATCTTGGGGTATTTTTTTAACTAAATATTTTCCATAGTTTCAGGATTCAGTACTTTCTAAGGCCCATAAACCTATGTTATCCCAAACACATACAGAAAAGCCTTTCAGTACTCCACTTAATGTCTTTTCATGGTGAACTATGCTAAAATCTCTACAAAACTATTTGAATAAATAATTTTGTGTAAGAAGTGTTACGACTAATAGTCAACAAACAATGCTAAACAAATGTTACACTTTTGACCTTGACAAAAAAGAACATTGTTGTTTTCTCTTATCAGAATATTCTGTTCAACTTTTACCATCTCCATTATTTTTCTTCTTTATATCTGCTCTCCTAAAAATACGCAACATCCATAAACAAAAGTTATTTCCGATATTGTTGGGTTAAAAATCTTTGAACCAGAATAATAGTTGGAATTCCGTAAATTTCCAAATAAATTATTTTAAAACATTTAGCTTCTCTTGATCTTCCATGGATAATTCAATCAAGTAAATTTAGTAACTGATACTTATGCTATGTAAAAGGTGACGTTATTTTTATAAAAAGAAAAATAATTATTTGAAAGATCATTTAGTTCTGGTCATATGATGCATGGTAACTAAAAAAACAACAATCTCAATGAAATAATTAGCTATATTGTATATATTCATACATATATATTTTGCTCCAGAAAAATATTATGATTCAAATATATTTTTAAGAAAATTATAATATCAGGAGTTTTGTGGATATTATAATAATTTTAATAGTTGAGACCATGAATCAATTAAAGCTAGACCACCATGGAAAACCTGGAAGCACTGGACGGCATTGGTGGATGTGTCGCTCAATTTCGTGAGTCGGTTAAAGTTAGATATCAACACCGTTGGATGCCGGCCTAGTGGTCTAGAGGTTAAGCGCTCGCGCGCAAAGCTGATAGGTCTTGGGTTTGAATCTCGTAAGGCGCGATGGTTGGTACACACTGATGTGGAGTCCCACAATAGGAAGAAACGGCCGTCCAGTGCTTCCGGGTTTTCCAGGGTGGTCTAGCTCCAATTTATTCATGATCTCAACTATAAAATTAAAATATTTGGAAAATTGTGAATGTTTTTGTAAGTTTGTTTATGTGTTTATTTTTCTACCAATATGTCATCTAATTTTGTTGTTTACAATTTACTTATCAAACAGAATTTTCAACTCCTATTGGATTTACTAAAAAACTATTGAACTTTGTTACGTGTAATTCAAATCTTAATATCATTAATTATGTTTATCCTTATTGAAATTATAAACAAATCTGTAAAATGTAATTAATGTTGTGTTTAGTGCAAGGTGTTGATGAAATCCTATTTACCGAATTCGTACAGTGACCAGTGATTCGCGATGACTATAAGTTGTGTTAGGATGTAATGGTTGAAGTTAATCAATAGAAAACTGTAAACTTTATTCAGTTTCACAACGTGGAGGAAACTGATACACCTTTGCAAGAATTCTTTAACTCTCATTAGACAAATCTATACTTACAAGGGTTCATTTGGAAATATTCAATTTATCTTAATTCATTTTTGTATTAATTGTTTGAATCTCTCCATTCATGTTTAAAATTGCAGTTGATTAGTCTCTTATTGGCGAATGTGCATCATGTGAGAATCGCCTCGATATTGCTTCAAGTCACAAACATTATAAGCAGAGATGGATGGCGGCTAGTAGTGCAATCCAACACGTGAATGTACAGACATCCCAGAGTCGATGTTTACTTGGATAACTGGACTCAGTGATTGAGTGAATAACACGATGACGTCTGAAGCGAAAAGTACTGGGTTCGAGTCTCAAAGTGAACATCAACTCTTGGATTCACGTTCATCCAGTTTACGAGTCCCTAATGTGATGAAACGCACGTCCTAGATTTCACTGCTGGCCACCATCCATTTATTCAACCTATCGTTTCTAACTTCTCGAAAGTGTACTTTTACGCTTCCTTCAGATAATAAATCTAAGACCTTCAGGTCTCAAGCCTGTTACTTGTGAACCCCTATACTGTCAGATTGTGGTTCACACTTTTAAATTTAGTCAATTTATGTTGGTTGTTTGGCCAAAGTTAGTTCATGATTTAAATTGTTCAAATGGTGAATAAATACATGAAGAATCACAACGAAAACGTAATTTTGTCTTTTATCTTTAATGAAAACCAATCATAGGACGAATTTTTTTGTTGAGGAAGATAAACTATTTTAAAAAAGTCCGAATCAAAATATCACAAAAAATAAAGAAACTAGTTTAGTTTTTACACCGGGATAACCACATATGCTCATATTTCACCCATTATGTCACCAAAAAAAATGGAAAAATTAGATTTTTCCTCATTTTTAAAGTTTGGTTGTGGATAATTAATTAATGTGGATGTAATTGTTAGTTGCCTTTTTAATTAATCTCATCTAATTTATTCGTTACTTCAAGATATTACATTTTGCAATACGTTTAAAAACTAATATCTACAGAGTCCTTGCGTAGTGAAGGGTAGATCTTTCAAGTTCCATTACTGTTTTTTTTGCTAAGACTCTTGTATTACTGTCTTGGTAATTCAGTGTTGTTTTCATAGATATCTTTGTTGTCTTTTGAACATTGTTTACTATATGATCTACAGTTTCAAATCAACTAATTATATTACTTTCGTATTAGTTATAACAAAACGTTAGAAATTAATATTTGTTTTGCTTATTGTGTCCTTCGAAATTGATTAAGTAGTGCTGAAGTCATGTATATGATCTTAAATGAAAATGATCAGATAGTTTGTCCGGTCATTAAGAGTCTTCAGCAACTTGTATAAGAAATTCGATTTATATATGTTAAACAATTACGTATTGAATTGTTCGTCAGTGACTAACACCGGAGAGGTTGAAATGTAACTTGTTGTGACCATAAACTGCCATAGTAAGACAATTTCGAAACCACTAACTGTTGGCCCGTCCTTATTACATCTTTCAAAAATTTAAACACCAGAAACATGAGTTGCTAAAGCCTATTGTATTAGTACACGAACATAAACTTATCACAAATTTTTGGATTAGTTTTACACTGTGTCTTGGGTTCATAAGATCTCCATGAACAATAGTTGAAGACGTTGTGTAACACGGTTTAGAGTCAATTACACTGTAGCAGATTTATTCAATCTTTTTCCCTGGATCTTAATTTCTAGCATATCCTCGTGTACACCTTATTTCCATATGTTCTTGCGCTATATTCTCAACATCCAGTTTTTTCTCCATACAATTGACACTACTATTGGTTAAACTCCTTTGCTATTTACCAATTATATCTCTCTGTCCCGATTTAACATAACAACTAGAGTTCAAGTAACTGGCTTTAACATCCGTGCCACTTTTGTTGTTATTTTGAAATTTATCTAATTTTTAAAGCGATTTATTTTTAGGTATAATTTCTAATCAGTTAAAATAAAGTGAAATGTTGTACTTTTTTGTTAAGCTTTATTGCATTGTCTCTATCAGTTTGACTTAGCTCAAAAATGCATTCTTCCCCTAATTTAAATTGATTGGTTTAAACATGAGATAGATAATCTCTGTTGGGTGTTTTCCACAAACTACTATCATTTTAACCATATCAAAATACTAGGGAATAGTGTAAAACTTATTTTTCCTTAAAGGTGTTCAGTATAATTATATTCTGTTAAACTATTCTAATCGGAAGTAGAATTTATTGTATTCGAAATTAAATTTAGTCAAGCACGGTGTTATTTAATGGCAATTTCCGTTAATTTCATATGCACTACATTTACTCTATGTGATTATTCAGGTGTTTTTAGAATCTAATAATAGGCTTGCACTTCTAAACATTCCAGCTCAAAAATAACCTGCTTATGATTTATATTATCAATGAATTGAAATATATTGAAAAATTTACAAGACTTTTTAAAGTTTTTTCCGAATTGTTATTTTGTTCTAATCAGTAGTCGATGTTTAGTATCACGCAGAAAATTTAAATGCCCGAGGTTTTGGTTTAAAAATTTTCTATACCAGAAAATTCAGCTATTTATTATATATTGACATAAACTGCAGTAAGTACTAACGGTCAAAATGATATTCTGTTCCAATCCTTTCTTTTAAAGTACTTTTAATTTATACATTTCTTTTTCAGTACATCTACATCGGTTGATAAACATTCAGAAAACGGTTTGAATACTCTACACCCAAATAAACAAACAATGTTGGCAGCAAAAGAAGCTGAAAGACAATTAGATGATCTGTTACATTCTTTAAAACAATTCAAGGTAATGATTACAGTTTAAGCATACAGTATCATTTGTGTTCAACATCGATCTTTTTCTAATGTATGAGGGGTCTAATGTTTTTTCACTTAATTCATTAAAACAATCGTAAAGATTTCTTAATATTCGAAATCGGTGTATAGAAACGTCAATACTGAATGTCTGTATCTGTTGGGATTCATTTAAACATCCTTTATGTAACATGGAATAATTTATCACAGCTTATTTCCATATTTTGATTTAATCGTAGAGTTATCATTATTTTCCGTGTTTGCTTAAAGGATGTCAAATATATTTTAAAATTTATTAAAATAATCCCAAAAGTAGAGTCATATAAAGAGCTCAATTTACAGTCAAATCACTTCGAAATCATGTTTTGAATGCTTTATTGTTGAAATCTTAAAGTATCTTCACAGCCAAACAGCTAGTTTAAACCAATATTGATGGTGCTTTAAATCTTTCAAACATATTACTGATTTCTAAGCGAGATACACGTCAGAAAGATGACTTCAGAGGACGCCTGAAAATAAATCAAAACATTTATTATGACTTATTATAATAGTTTGTGTTTTATCTCTTCTAATGAATAACATCTTACGATGTGAAGCAATCGATATGAATTTAGAATTTAGAAGATAAACTCAACATTTGAATGGTAGATATATCTAGTTGATGAATATCAGCTAGAAAAAATTTCATTATTACTCTCCCTGTAAAATATATAAAACACTTGTTGTATGCAGGTTCATACGTGTATTCGACCAATCTACAACTAGATATTTTCATTATAAAAAATATATTTTATTGAGTAAAGAAATTTTCATTTCCATCTTCAATGCTATAGAATCGTTTTCGACATACATTTCGATTTTTATTCTCTATAATCGATGGTGTAGTTTAAAACAATTACTGATTTATAGACATACATTATTATTTATCGAATACCATAACGAATCACTTAATTTATTCTCTATTAAGTAATTATGATTGTCCGAAATCGAGTAGCCATACAATATCAACACTTATTATTTCTAGTTATATCAGTCAATCAATCATAAGTGCACATGTTCATCAGTTTAAGTTGCCACACTTAAACAAGCTAAAGAGTTGAACTTTTCAACGTGAATAATAAAATACTATTAATGGTGGTTATAAAAAAACAATAAGCATGAAGAATGTTTATTAAAAAGAATGAACGCATTTGTTGAATAAAAGGTATAAAACACATTTAAAACTTAGGATCTCCAACCAATGGTCACAGTAACTCAGAGTTGACCTCAACTAGGTAGGCTACATCCACTAATAAGACTGGGTTTAACAGTCAATGACTCCTAGTTATATAGTTGGTTGAAAATATACGGGGGTTTTAAGATATCAAAATGTAGTATCTGTTTCATGATCCTCTTTACTGTTCATTTGAGCTTTGTTGACAGTTGAAAATTTTACTGATTGAAGTCTTCACAATAGCTAAAATCTAAATTTTGAAGTTTTAGGATAATATACCTCAAAATTGATCTCAATAGTTATACAGTTTCATTTATTTGTTATACTTTACTAAATATTGAATTTAGTAAGATCTGATGTTGTTTGTTAGATTTTAATTGTTCTTAATAAATAATATTCATTATGTTAAATGTTTTATACAACTGACTTTTTTTTCTTAAATTTATACCATATGTTACTATGGAATTGTGTTGATGTAAAGTGTAGGGAACATAAATCCTTAAATATGATTATCCATTCAAAAATTAACAATTACTAGCTAAGTGACTTTCACTTTATTATATCTGAACTCTCTTGGTATTGAAAATTGCATTTACCCTATAATTCATAATTACAAAAAATTTTAAAAATGTTCTTTAGAACGCTAATTGTTTTAATCTTGTAAGATAAAACTCTTGTTTAAATATATATATATATATATATATATACTAAACTATGTTTAACCATGTTGTTACATGTAGACTTAGATATAGATCGATAATATGTGTATATATAGATATGAGAGTATACAGTGTACATCTTTTCGGTTAATGAAGATAATCTGCTTGAAACATCTATACACACTTGTAATACGAAATAAAGTAAACGTTTCAAGTTTCAAATCTGGTAAGTTTATTACTAAAAATGTGTACAAACAATAAAATGTAATTACATAATTCATTAATAAGGTGTTAACTTAATATAGGTCAATGTATTTGTAATTTTCGTTGTTTAATATGTTTGGTATTAGTACCCATCACTTGTATCTTAATTTTTTCCATTTTAAAACTTTTAGTAACAAAACAAAATGTAGTAAAGCGATCACCATAAAAGATTTTGATATATTCTACTTCTTTATTAATGTAGGGATGTTTTGGAATTTTTATTACCTTAATAACTTAACTTACATACCTTACGCCTGTTACCCCTCGTGAAGGAACATAGGCCGCACACCAGTTTTCTCCATCCAACCCTGTCCTGGGGAATCTTTTCCAGTTGTTAATCATCCTTTTCATATCCGCTTCTATTTGCCGGCGTAATGTGTACTTTGATCTTTTACTTTTCCGCTTCTCTTTCGGATTCTAAGTTAGGGCTTGCCTCGTGATGCAGTTTGATGAATTCTTCAATGTATATTACCTTAATAACTAAAGAGAAATAACATTTTCTCTTGCTATTAAAAAAAAGAAGTAATGTATTGTTTTACTGCAAAATCTTTGTGAACTAACACAAGAATTTCTTGAATCTTGAATATGCAATCTCATTGTTAAAAGTTAAATCTATTAACTTATAAAACGTTGCTTTGTTAGACAAACATAAGACATTTTAGAATACTAGTTAAGTGTATTTACTTTATTTAATGATTATTCATATCTATGTGTTAAAAATGATACTTATGTCTCAGGTTGAGGAAGTTATTTATTTGAAAGGTAAGAGATAACTTTATTGATTCATATTCTATATATTAGTGTATGTTTGATGTGGTATACATTCTTCTTTTCATAAATCAAGCCCATTTTTTTATCGAGAAAATATAGGTTTGTATACCTTATGATTTAGTTGAATTACATTTCTTCAGATAAAATCTTATTTGAACATTTACTCATTATCAAAAAGGAATAATAATTCGTTCATTATAAATATAAGGATCATGTCTATTTATTAGTAGTATTCATAAAAGAGTTTAATTGGTGTAATGTTCAACAATTTCTTTGAATTCATAGTATTATTATTACTATTAATCTTGTTGTTCTGTTACATCATCATCTCAAGATTTAATAAACGTTAGCTGTGTGTAACATACATAGTGAATATGATAAGAAAAAGTGATATATACATTGACCTAGAAAGATTAAATTGTACTTATTACATTTTTGATGTATTTGTGTTACCAACCAATAACTATTAACATTAGTCTTGCGTTTTTTAACGAATTAACTGAGTATTTTTAATAAAAATATTGCATTATGTTGAAGTCCTATCTACTCATTATAGGATTGAAACAGATTGTTTGTATTAATCAGCTGGTTGTTTAAAAATACTCGGTAATAAGTCTCTATATATAAAAATTATTTCAACATTAAGGCGCTGATGATGTTGTTTCAATAGACAACGAAAGTTTCACAATTAAATCACTTAGCTAAACCTTAGTATTACTTTTTGTACATTTTCAGTAGATTCATGACATACTACCTAATAAATAAATCCATAGATAGTGTAGTATGAAGCATAACTGGAGTATAAACTACTTACTGTTTGAATTCAGAGGTTTATTATATTTTATTCATGGGTAACAATTTTATTGTAATAATTATTACGGTTCACATTACTGTGTAATCTAATTGGATTGTTTAAATATATATGCATATATAAAGTAACTCTGATTCATACAAAAAACGTTTGCAAGTTTTTTCACAAACTAAATCAATTCTTCTAGAAGACTTGGGATAATTTCAATGAACTATCAAATGATTTACAAAATTCTTTCACATTCTTATCAAATTTTGCATGGGAAACATCTCTCATACAGAATATAATAAGATGTTTTCATGATGAAGAGTATGTATTATACGTTAGAACTAGTTATATAACTAGAAATGTTAACTATCGATATTGTATGGATACTCGATTTCGGACAATCATAATTACTTAATAGCGAATAAATTAAACAACTCGTCATGTTATCCAGTGAAGAATAATATGTGTCTATAATTTAGTACTTGTTTTAAACTACACCAATCATCATAAACCCGTCAAGTTGGATTTTATTTCTAAAACAATTTTTATTTAAGAGCACCCACTTGTGATAAAAATCATTTGTAAACTACAATTTTGTCCTCAATTATCACAGTTCGAGCATATCTTTTTTTAATGAAAAATTTCATTTTTTATCTGGTTTTTTTATTTTGAATTGTCCGAAATCACATCGTCAATCCGTTGCCTTTTTCTTATAACGATTGATACCAGTTTGGATTTTGAATCGCACACGGATCTTTGTTGAAAATTTGAATGCTTTTGTTTGACTAAGTCAACTTATGCTTTTGAACATTTTTATTTACAACTCAAAATAAAGTACACTACATCATGATTTAATGTAGTTGAGTTGTATGGAAGTTACATTCAAACAAATCAGTAATCATCACTGGGAAATATAGCATTGGTTACTCATTAAATGATTGATATATATTCATTGTTTATAAAGTTGTAATCATGAGTCAAACGCAGCTAGACCACCATGGAAAATCTGGAAGCGCTGGACGGCCGCGCGCGCTACTGGTAGGTCCTGGGTTCCAATCGCGCGAGGCGGAATCGTGGATGTGCACTGCTGAGGAGTTTCACAATAGGAAGAAACGGCCGTTCAGTGCTTACAGGTTTTTCATAGTGGTCTAGCTCCAATTAACTCATGATTTCAACTATATAAAAAGTTACTAAAAGTCTACACAAAACCTCAATATATTCATTGTATTTCTTGGCATTGTTGACAACTTTTTATGGTTTACTTCGGACAAGGTACAACTGAATAT